ACTGACTATGAGAAGCTGACGTAACAGCAGGGAAACTACATAGACTTCTAAAACCCACTCCAAGAAAACCTTGAAATATTCAGGAATCCACTCAATTATTTATCAGACTTTACTTTTCATAAATGCTGCCTTTGCCAAGGTGGAGAGCAGGTCCTGGGGGCCGAGAAATATTGTTTGTGTGTCTTGTAAGGGCTTTCTGGCTTCCCACAAAGCAAGCTGTTCCACCCTGAGTTTCTAGACGGACGTACAAATACTCAATAGTATCAGCACAGAGGGTGTGTTCTATCAGGAGGCTGAGTAAACAGCTGTTAGGAATGCAGTGTTAGAGATGGAGGAGCGGATTCCTGCTCTCCTCCAGTCAGAAAACTCTCAGGGCACCTGGAGCCCTGCTCTCAGCTCCCTTTTTATTGTTATGTTTAAACAGCTTCATTGAGTATAATTTGTTGTTGTTACAGTTGCTCAGTCCTGTCGGACTCTTTGCAACCCCATGGACTGCAGCACGCCAGGCTTCCCTGTCCTTCACCATCTCCCAGAGGTTGCTCAAACTCATGTCCACTGAATCGGTGATGCCATCCAACCATCTCATCCTCAGCTGCCTCCTTCTCCTCTTGCCCTCAATCTTTCCCAGCATCAGGGTCTTTTCCAATGAGCAGGTGTCTTTTCCAGTGAGTCAGCTCTTTGCATCAGGTGGCCAAAGTACCGGAGCTTCAGCTTCAGCATCAGTTCTCCCAATGAATATTCAGGGTTGATTTCCTTTAGGATTGGCTGGTTTGATTTTGCAGTCCAAGGGGGAGTCTCAAGAGTCTTCTCCTGCACCATAATTTAATATACCATAAACTGCATGCACTTAAGGTATATTACTTAGCTCATTTTTGACACAGGTACCCGTGAAACCGTCCTCACAATCAAGATGATGCATTTATCCATTATCCCCAAAGGCTTCCTCAAATCCTTTGCAATCCTTCCTCTTGTCCCTCCCTGCCCTCCATCCCTGTCCCCTGACAACCACTGCTCTGCTTTCTGACACTGTAGATGAGTTTGCAATTTCTACAGTTTTATATCAAAAGACCTTGACTGTATTACTCTCCTCCATGTGGCTTCTTTCACTCAGCATCATCATTTTAAGATTCATCCATGTTACTGCCCGTATCACTAGTTCATTCCTTTTGGCCGCTCCACATGTATTCCTTTGTAGGATTATACTATCATGTATTTATCGATTCGGTAGCTGCTGGGTACTCAGTAGCTGCTCCGTTGCTCAGTTGCTCAGTCATATCTGACTCTTTGTGACCCCATGGACTGCAGCCCTCCAGGCTCCTCTGTCCATGGGATTTCCCAGGCAAGAATACTAGAATGGGTTGCCACTTCCTTCACCAGGGGATCTTCCCGACCCAGCGATTGAACCCACATCTCCTACACTGGCAGGCGGATTCTTTACCACTGTGCCACCTGGGAAGCTCTTAGGTTGTTTCTAGTTGTGAGCTATTACAAATAAAGCTACCATAAACAACTGCATATAGGTCTTCAGATGGACACGCATTTCTCTTTCTCTTGGGTTAATGCCTAGGAGTGAGAGGGCTGGCTTCAGTGGTAGGGGTGTGTTTATATTTCGGACACTGCTAACCTAACTGCCAGAGTAGTTATACCAGTTCGCATTCCCACCTGTAATTCTGGTTTCTCCGTATCTTGACAACAGGCTTTTTATCCGTTAGCTGTTGCAGCAGGATGCTCGTCTATCTCTAAGAGAAACCTAAAGATACCATAGTGGTTTTTCACAGGTGCTAAGGGTGAAGCCCCAGTGTAGAAAGGTTCTAGAAAGGTGTTTAGGATTTGGAGGATGGGGTGGGGATGGCTATGTCACAGGGTTTTAAAACCAGCACAACCCACCCCTCCTATCACTCATGCACGATCCAGCACAGCTAAACCTCAGATACATAAGACAGTTTAGCCGAGACCCTGCCTTATCATTCCTCCTGCTCCAGCTCAGCCCATGTCCTCCCACAGTGAGGTTGACCTTTGTCCACAACCCTACTGTGCCCTGGCTGGGACCCTTTGAACTTGATCTCTGGAGGCTCCCAGTGCCCCCAGGACTCCCCCTCTCCGCCCCTCTGATTTCGTTCTCACTGGGATCCTCACTGACCTGTGCTACCCAGAGAGGACAAGCTCTACCCCGGCCTTTCTGTACCCCAAGTGGACACTGGTCCTTGGTCAGTGCCAGCAGCTCCTTGGCTGCCTGCCCTGTGCCCCAAGGCAAAGCAAGGTAACAGAAGCCCACCTCCACCCAGCTCTGAGATGGGCCCAGAAAAAAGCTCCTTTTCAAGTGGAGTGAATCCCTTGCCTCTTGAATAGTGAAAAGATTTGGGAAGCACATGCCCACCACGGAGGTAGCAGCAGATTTGATCAACCTTCCCAATAGTGGGGAGATGTGGTCAAGGGCATCAGGGGTCCTCCAGGATCTGCAGCCTGGATCAAACCAAATCCTCTATTTAGTACATAGTGAAGCCACTTAACCTCCATGTGCCTTAGTTTTCTTATCTGTAAAAAGGGGAAAATAGTAGAATCTATTAATACCTGCCAAACTTGCCTCAGTGATCAAATGAGACATATCTATAATGCACTTTACTTCAATCGAGATTTAATTAAATTTAATTAGATGATATAGTTTAATAACAATGCCAGTTTCTCAGTCGTGTCCAACTCTGCAACCTTTTGGACTGTAGCCCGCCAGGCTTCTCTGTCCGTGGGACTTTTCAGGGAGGAATACTAGAGTGAGTTGCCATTTCCTTCTCCGGGGGATCTTCCCAGCCCAGAGGCTGAACCTGATTCCTGTGTGTCTCCTGCATTGCAGGCAGATTCTTTATTGCTGAGCCATGGAGGAAGCCCAACAATGCCAGTTACATAGCAGCAAGAGCTCAGCAAAAGTGAGCCATTACTGAGGCAGAGACCTTGCTCAGCACTTCCACATTTCACTCCACTTAATCCTCATAATAACCCTATGAGAGGGTCACCACTATTATCTCCATTCGACAGAGAGAAAGCTGAAGCACAGAGGAGTGCTTTGCCCAAAGTCACACAGCTAGCAGACAGAGGTGCAGGGCCTCAACCAGGTAACCTGACTTCAGACTACACATCTAACCCCTTCATATTCCTTCTATCACCAAGCACCAGTCAAGACGAGAGATCCCTGAGCTGGTCCCTCATCACACATGCAGAAGGCTGACACCTCTCCTCCAGGAGCCGTGATCCCCTGGACCGACAGATCTCATCAATTTACCAAGCATAGAGCATCTCAGAAACCACACGATGTAAAGGTTTTGAGGAAGGAGATTGGTGACATTTAGCTGGGTCTTCAAGGATGAGTCAGAGTTTTCTGATTAGACAGAGTGAGAAAATATTTCAAGCCTATTGAGCCCCATTTACAAAGGTTCGGAGATGTGGAACCCATGAGAAAGAGTTGGCTGGGAAGTGAAGGAATCCCTTAAGCTTAAACAACAGGGATATAACTTAAGAAGTCTAGAGGTGGGCTTCCCTACTGGTCCAGTGGTTAAGAATCACCTGCCAATGCAGGAGACACAGGTTTGATTCCTGGTCCAGGAAGATTCCACATGGCGCAAGGCAAGTAAGACCATGTGCCACCACTACTGAGCCCATGCTCTAGAGCCCAAGAGCAACTACTGAAGCCTGTGGGCCTAGAGCTCATGCTCTGCAACAAAAAAAGCCACCACACTCCAACTAGAGAGTAGCCCCTGCTTGCCGTAAATAAAGAAAGCCCGAGCATAGCAATGAAGACCCAGCACAGCCAAAAATAAAATTAATTTTTCAAAGAGTCTAGAGGTGATTCCAGACTAGGGGGAGCCAACTGGGTAATGTTATCAATGATGCTCCAAGATCTTTCTGTCTGCCCTTTCAGCTTGGGACTTTTTGTCTTTCAACTCTTGGGCCTCATGATTCCAAGATGGCTGCCACAGCTCCAAACATCACATCCTCATACTACTGTGTTAAAAGTAGGAAGCAGGAGGCTACCAGAGCCTAACAGAGATCTATCTCCTTCCATGAGTTTCTTCTCTTATTAGGAAAGAAAATCTTTTTCCAGAAGCCCCAGCCAACTTTCCCTGACATTGGCCAGTACTGTTTTAAAATCTAACCTTAGACCAATCACTGGCAAAGAGAAATGAGATTGCCATGGCTGAATCAGGATAATTACAAAATCTTAGGGCTGGAGGGGGCTCTCAAGTTGCTTGAGCACAATGTGGCTCCTTGATTCTGGGGTTATCTTAGTAACAGGATGGTCAACTGAGCCGGGCAGAAGTGATGGACATTCAAGCCACAGCCCTGAGCGGCCAGGTAAACAGTTTGACTTCCCTGGGGCCTCCGGGCTACAAGGAAGCCCACACTAACCCTGCAATGCGTCTACATGAAAAGGTATCCCCAGACAGCCTCCAGCTACCCCATCCACCTCCTTCCTGCCACTCCTACCCCTCCACCACCCTCCTGCCTGAAATAGCGTGAGAGATTTATCCTGCCCTGAACAGCCCAGCCAAGCACTTCCAGAATTCCTGACCCACACAAGTCATGACAGGCACGAGGTTTGGGATGATCTATTTTATTCCACTCCATTTTGGGGTGGTCAGTTTAAGCACCAATAGATAGCAGAACAAACCTCAAGGTCATACAAGTGCCAAGCTGTGATTTGAACCTGACACCACACTGCCTCTCAGATTCACAAGTGGGAGAGGAGAAATCTCTCTTTGAAATGCCAAAAAGAATTTTTAAATCATCACAGATTTTTGGGTCATGTACCTCGCGGAGGGGTGGGGGTGGGGGGGAGCCCTGTTAGGGAAGAGAGGAAGAGAGGGGAAAAAGTCAGCAGGAAGACAAAGAAGGTGGACAGAGGGTGTGCAGGGCGCAGTGGAAGACAGGTTATGCTGAGAAGGGCCGTGTAGCTTTGGAATAAAAAGTAGGTTAATAAAGCTGATAAATGCGAGGTAGGTCTGCATGTATTACCCCATGAAGGATGGCTGCTTTAATGAGGAGAGAGGCAGGGAGAAGCCCTGTCTTCCGGCCCCCCGCTCCGGGTCAGAGTCCACGCCGCCGTCCTCTTTGGGGGAAACCGCAGCAGGGTCACGGTCTTTGACCCGTGTGTTAATAATCTGCGTCTTCTGCTGCAAAGGCACCGCACGCTGCCAGGTCAATGCGGAGGGGTAGGCGGCAGGCCTCATTGGGAGGAGGGGGACAGGGCCAGGCTCACAGCCTGTGCTGCGACAGAAGGCACATTGATCACTCTCCAGTGACAAAGAGAAGTCCCCTGGGGCCTGATCTGCTGAAGGCTGAGGAGTGTCTGAGCTCTGCATGAAGCCAGCCCCATAAAGGGCAAGGGAGGGAGAGGGGAAGCTGAGCGGAGTGGGGTGGGGGGAGCTTAGCATGCCAAAGCCGCCCTTCAAATCACCCCTTTTTCATTTGGGTCTCAGTCGGCCTTTCTCATAAGGGCCAGGGGCCAGCCAGCTGGAATAATGTTGTCTGCAAGCCCGAGCAGGCTTAGTCAACTCTGACCAACTAAGTGACCCTGGAATCTGGCCCAGACCTCAAGCCTTGGACTCGGTGTGGGGTGGGAGGAGGGCTCTTGCCGGCTGCTTTAGTGTCTGTCTCAGTTTCCTGTTGCTACTGTAACAAATCAGCACAAACTTCATGACCAAGTGCCTCTGTTGCCCCCTCTCAACCATCGCTTCGGAGTCTGGGCACAGACCTGGCGTCTGAGGAGCTTTGTGAGCCCCCATAAATCCGGGAGTCAAACACTGAGTCAATCAGACCTCAGTCCAAAGGCTGGACAGGTCAGGCAGAGTCTGCTGTGGCCCAGGACTCACCTCCCAAGCCAACCTGAGGACTGACTCGGGACAGCACCTACTAGATTCTAGCACAAGGAAGAATTGCAAACACCATTCTATCCAGGCTCAGCTATATTTTGCCCCGAAAAATTAAAAAGTCAACAATGGATAATTCATTGCACTTTATTAAAAGTTAGGGTGGGAACTTGGGGGTTTCTGTTCAGAGTCTAATTTAGACACAAAATGTTGTGTGGTCTTGCATGCATGCATGCTCAGTCATGTCCGACTCTTTGCGACACCAGGGACTGTCACCTGCCAGATTCCTCTGTCCATGGGATTTCCCAAGCAAGAATACTGGAGTGGGTTGCCATCTCCTTCTCCAGTGTGGTCTTGGGCAAGTCCTTTTACTTCTCTTGCCTCTGTTTGCTCACCTTTAAAATGGGTACAATGATGCTCCCCCTCCCCCAACATGGGCAAGGATTAAATGAAACATTGAATGTGACAGACACACTCAAGACCCACCCTTTATGCAACTGTTAACCCCCAAGCAGGGCAGTGACAAAGTCCCCACGGCCCCGTGCAGCCTCGGTGGGGGCACCTTCCTGCCACCCCTGTCCCACCACCTCCCTCCCACCTCTCTTTGTTCCAGCCTCAGCAGACTTCTTTATAGATGCTCTGAAGTCACCAAGCTCCTTTCTGCCTCAAAGCCTTTACACAACTTCTTCATATCATCCAGGTCTCTGCTCTCACGTTCCCCCACCAGAGGAGCCGCCCCTGACCCCCACCATGGTCATCCTCCTAGCTATGATCTGGGAGCCTGATCTAACCTCAAGATGTCACCCCCGTGTAACCAACCAGGAAGGATTTCTGTGTTACAACTTCACGCAGACATCATCAGAGCCAAGGTCAAAGTGAGAGGTGAGGGAGGCTAATACATGCACAGAAGAGGTCAGCAAACTGTTCCTGCCAAAGGCAGACTAACAAATATTTGGGGCTTTCTGGCCATATGGTCTCTGTCACAACTACTCACCTCTGTTACTGAAGTGCAAAGACAGCCACAGGCAACACACAAGCAAACAAGCACGGCTGTGTCCCAACAGAATCTTATTTACAAAAACAGGCAGTGGGCTGGTTGTGGCCTATGGGCCACTGTTTTGCCAATCCTGATCTAAGAATCTAGTCAAGCAATTAGATTACCCCCAAGTACAGGATTCCAAAGATCCAGGCATGTGAAGAAACAACGGAAAAAGAGACAAGAAGAGAAGGGACAGAAGGAGTCAGAAAAGTGCTATGAAGACTTAAATATGTTTTAAGGGATTTCTCTGGTCAGTGGCTAAGACTCTGCATTCCCAATGCAGGGGGGCCTGGGGCTCGATCCCTGGTCAGGAAAGTAGATTCCACATGCTGCAACTAAAGATCCTGTATGCTACAACGAAGATGGAATCTCCTGGGTACCACAACTAAGACCAGGCCCAGCCAGATAAATAAATAAATGCATTTACAGTAAATTAATTTTAAATAGGGAATCTCAGAAACAGTGGGATAGACAAGAATGAGGCTATCAGAGGAAATAGAAAATTTTATCCTAAAATTCATAAAGAATCTCAAGGGATTCCAAATAGACAAAATGATCATGAAAAAAAAACAAAAACAAAGTTCAAGGTCTCAGACTTCCTGATTTCAAACTTACTGTAAACCTACAGTAATAAAAGCAGTGGGAAAAAAACAGTAATAAAGACTGGCATAAAGACAGACATATAGACAAATGGAATAGAATAGAAACGCCAGAAATAAAACCTCACGTAAGTGGTCAAATGGTTTTGATGAGGGTGCCAAGACCATTCAATGGGGGAAGAACAGGCTTTTCAACAAATGGTTCTAGGAAACAGGAGATCCACATGCAGAAGAATGAAGTTGGACCCTCACCTCAGAACATATATAAATGTTAACTCAAAATGGATCAGAGACCTAAATGTAAGACCAAAAACTATAAAACTCTCAGAAGAAAACATACAAGAAAAGCTTTGTAACATTGGGTTTGGCAATGATTTCTTGGATATGACACCAAAAGAACAGTCAACAAAAGAAAAAACAGACATGTTGGACTACATCAAAATTTAAAACTTCTGTGCATCAAAAAACATGTTAAACAGAGTAAAAAGGCAACTGATGGAATGGGAGAAAATATTTTCAAATCATATATCTGATAACAAAATACATAAATAATTTCTACAATGACAAAAGTGGATTTAAAAGGGGTGAAGGACATGAATAGATATTTCTCCAAAGAAGATATACAAATGGCCAACAAATGCATGGAAAGATGCTCAACATCACTCATCCTTAAGCGAATATAAATCAAAACTACAATGAGATACCACCTCACACAGGTAGGGTGATTATTGTCAAAACGAAAACCCAGAAAATAACTAGTGTTGACAAGTATGTGAGAATTCGGAACCCCATGCACCACTGTCAGGAATGTAAAACGGGGCCATCGACTACGGTAAAGAGTATGGCAGTTCCTCAAAAAATTAGAAGTGAAATTAGCATATGTCCCGGCAATTCCACCTCTGGGTATATACAGAAAACAGTCTAAAGCAGGGTCCTGAAGAGATATTTTTACAAGCATATCCAAAGTAGCAGTTGATAATAGCCAAGAAGTGAAAACAATGGAACTTTCCATCGACAGATGATGGATCAACAAACGCAGTATATGCATACAATGGAATATCATTCAGCCTTCAAGAGGAAGGAAATTCTACAGTACAGGTGAGCCTGGAGGACATCATGCCAAGTGAAACAAGCCAGTCACCAAAGGACAAATACCATGTGATTCCGCTTACATGAGGAACCTAAAGTAGTCAAATTCATAGACAGGGCTTCCCTGATGGCTCCATGGTTAGGAATCCGCCTGCCAATGTAGAAGACATGGGTTCGATCCCTGGTCTGGGAAGATCCCACATGCAGCGGGGCAACTAAGCCCGTGTGCCACAACTATTGAGCCTGTGCTCTAGATCCCGGGAGCCACAACTTTAGAACCCACACGCTGCAACTACTAAAGCCCTCACACCCTAGAGCCTGTGCTTTGCAACAAGAGAAGCCACTGCAACGAGAAGCCTGAGCACTGCAACTAGAGAGCAGCCCCGACTCTCCACAACTGAAGAAAAGCCACACAGCAGCCAAGACCCAGCACAGCCGAAAATAAATCAGCAAAATTTTTTTTTTAATTCATAGAGACAGAAAGTTAATTTTGGTGGTTGCAGGGATAATGAGCAGGGAAGTTGTTAATTAACGGGTATAGAGTTTTAGTTTTGAAAGATGGAAAGAGTTCTGGAGATTGGTTACACAACCAAGTAAATACACAAAACATGAGTGATCTATACACATAAAATTGATTAAGATGGTAAATGTAACATCATGTGTGAAGTGAAAGTCACTCAGTCGTGTCCGACTCTTTGCGACCCCGTGGACTATACAGTCCATGGGATTCTCCAGGCCAGAATACTGCAGTGGGTAGCCTTTCCCTTCTCCAGGGGATCTTCCCAACCCAGGACTGAACCCAGGTCTCCCGCATTGCGGACGGATTCTTTACCAGCTGAGCCACGGTTACCTTTGTTAAATGTTCTTTAAAATAACAGGCTTTGAAAGAAAAGGGATGAAGAAAGCTACAGCCAACATTAATCGAAAGAAAGTGGAGTGTGTCCATTAACTTCAGACCCCACAGGCCTCAGAACAAGGACAGTCAGCAGGGGTAAGGAGCAGCATTACATAACGATAAAAATGTCAGTTCTCCAAGAAAACATAATAGTCGTTAATGTGCTTGAAAGTGAAAGAGGAGAGTGAAAAAGTTGGCTTAAAATTCAACATTCAGAAAATGAAGATAATGGCATCTGGTCCCATCACTTCATGGCAAATAGATGGGAAAACAATGGAAACAGTGAGAGACTTTATTTCCCTGGGCTCCAAAATCACTGTAGATGGTGACTGCAGCCATGAAATTAAAAGACACTTATTCCTTGGAAGAAAAGCTATGACCAACCTAGACAGCATATTAAAAAGTAGAGACATTACTTTGACAACAAAGGTCCATCTAGTCAAAGCTATGGTTTCTCCAATAGTCATGTATAGATGTGAAAGTTGGACTATAAAGAAAGCTGAGAGCTGAAGGATTGATGTTTTTGAACTGTGGTGTTGGAAAAGACTCTTGAGAGTCTCTTGGACTGCAAGGAGATCCAACCAGTTCATCCTAAAGGAAATCAGTCCTGAATATTCATTGGAATATTCATTGGAAGGACTGATGCTGAAGCTCAAGCTCCAATACTTTGGCCACCTGATGCAAAGAACTGACTCATTGGAAAAGACCCTGATGCTGGGAAAGATTGAAGGCAGGAGGA